AACTCTAATTGTTATTTATTATGTCCCGATTTAGCAAATTATATTTAATATGCCATAAAAGCTTAAACATTAATTTTCATATTATTATAAACACACAGTGTTCTAGGTTTAACAAAATACAGCTTTCAATACATTTTCTACGCACTTTTCCACACCCATGTAGAAAATTAATTTTCTACGTGCCGTTACCCAACCCTGCTCCTTTGTTTCGTGTATTTTTATTAATAACTCCTTACATAGTCGTTAACCATATCCGGTCCCATGTCCAGCATAGTTCGGTACCCCCTGAGCAAATCGTTATCCAGCTCGAGGAACTGTGACGGATCCCTCAATGCGAATACGTACACTTATATCCTTATATACCATCCACTAGTTTCACTCAAAAGCAATCATATCACATTATATACACCACAAAGATCCATTACAAAGCACAGTAACTTCACTACAACTCCTGTATATATAGATAGGCAAACACAAACCAAGAAGTACAGGTGCACCAACCCCTTTTTAGGTGGATGAAGGTTGGTACACAGGCTAGGCTCGCTCTGAGGGAGAAAAAACGATCATATACGCACAGCGGATTGGTGAATCCTTGTCAATAAATAACGTAAACCAATTAGTGGGTGTAGTTCGACGTTTTGTCACTGTAAGCGCGACGGTCTGGCGCGAACTGACTCGGGTCGGTCGGTTCGGTCGCTGCCAGAACCGATGGACGCAACGCGCGCATTTTACGGCGTTGCCGAGTTCATTTTCCCAATTTCACTTTTACTTTTTTTCGTCGTCCGTAACGCACCGGTTGTTCTTGTCGAAATTAAAGTAGGTATGCATAGTTTGTTTTTTTTACTCAGGTAAGATTTCGACAGACGATGACAGAAAAAAGGCAGATGACGTCCATAGCAATCCACTTTTTTCGCTAAAAAAACTTAATAATAACTAATATTTTTTAAGTTAACTATAGATGGATTTATATACAGGATGTTTCAAAAAACGTGCCATCTCTCGTTGGGAGATTCCTCACGTAAAAATAAGATTTATTTTTCATATCAACAAAGGTCCGATTCTGCTTTGTTTCGTAGCTACAGGATTCTAAGTACTTTTAATGGCTCGAAATTTTGGAGGTAAAAGTTAGTATAAGTGCTTCATATTATAATGCTAAAAAAGTGTCGATAAATTCATCAGAAATGTGCATATGGGTTATCAGTAGAATATTTTTCAAAAAAAAAACGTGCGCCACAGACTTTTTTCTTTTGATATCAAAATTGTGTAGTCTGTTTATTGCCAATTAAAAGTTATCTCTTGATATTTTGTCGAATTCGGCCTCCTTGATGAGATAAACGTAATTTTATTAATTACAATCAAGAACTTGGAAGATTCCATCCGCAACCTGGAATGGAAATCTTGCAATGGTCTAAGACACTCGAAGAAGTTTCTGAGGGCTTATGATCAAGAAAGATCACAGATCTTCTTGGGTCTGAGTAAGAACAATCTTCGGATTGTCACGGGGTTTTTAACAGGACACTGTCTCCTCAATGAACACCTCAGTAGATTGAAACTAAGAAGAAACGGCGAATGCAGATTCTGTGGGGAAGATGGGGAAACACCAGTACACCTCATCACTGAGTGCGCCGAGACATGACAACCATTCGTGCCATGAATTTTGGTACGACTGATATTGGAGATGGAGAACTACCCTCTATAAAACCGTCCCAGATACTGGCTTTTGTCAAAGCCCTGGGACTGTATGATGAGTTATGATTCAAGAAAGGGGGACACAATGGATCTGTAAGGTCGAAGTGATTAACCCCCCTCCCACTCATTCTAAATTCTAAAAATTCTAATTACAATCAAAAAAATTAAAATAAAAATACAATTAATAAATTATACATATATATTCTACCTAATTTATTCTTATTATATTATTTTATTACTATTAGTCCAACATACAGCAATTTCAAATAATAATAATAATAAAATAATGGTATTTAAGATAAATACAAAAAAACTAATTTTAAAAAGTTTTAACATCCTGTAACTCTAAAACTATGCATATGCATTTCCATACCCACGTTTATAGTAACTTTTTTATATTTTATAAATGAAGAATGAATGAGTACTTATTTAAAACTATCCAAGTTAATGATATTAAAATGTTTTAAAGGTTGCTATTAGACTCGGATTAAGGCAAATTAATAAAATTGCGTTTATCTCATCAAGGAGGCTGAAATCTGCAAAATATCAAAAGACAACTTTTATTCGGCATTAAACTGCTTACACTATTTCACTAACAAAAGAAAAAAATGACGTACATGCTTTTTTTAGAAAAATATTCCAGTGATAACCCATATACACGCCCCTGGTGAATATGTCGACTTTTTTAGCTTTAAAATATGTCGCATTTATAGTAACTCTTACCCTCAAAATTTCATTTAAAACGCTAAAAGTACTCGGAAGAAAATTATAATAAATCTAATAAAAATATATAAAATTAAAATAATATGTAGATACGAAACAAAGCAGAATCGGAACTATGTTGATATGAAAAATAAATCTTATTTTTACGTGAAGAATCTCCCCACGAAAGATGGCACATGTTTTTTGAAACACCCTGTATAAATCCGTCATGGGTCGTCTCTTCTTTTTAACCAGTTTTATTGATTTATTTCAAAAATGACAGATCATATTTCAATATTATTGGAGTGAAGGAACGATGCGCGATTCACGGACGCAGATGCGTATGAACTCGACTTGTTCTTGAGGCTTGTCAAACTCTTGCCAAATTATAGGTTATAATATGTGTCGAATTATCTCAAATATATTTGCAAATTGCTTTTGCATTTTGGTACGTGATATTAGTTGTGTGTTTGGTGTTTTTTTAAGTTAAATGGAAGAAAAATCGAGGGAAAATTAGCTGTAGACCCTGAGCACAGTTTATAGGTAATATTCGGTGTCACCAACAGCCACCAATAGAGTTTGAATACCATCTCGTATATGGTACTAAAAACTGGAGTAGCTGTAAAATACCGACATCACTCGATAGGTAAATAGTACATTTTAGTAGTGCAGAGAGATAATGTCAAAAGATACTGGATTAAAAAAATTAAGATTAAAGTTAATTAATCAATTACAGTTGAGGGTTGGAATCTTTGGTGTTACACAGCAAAATAAAAACACTAAATCACCACAATACACCAAAACACTTTTACTGTTACTTAGTTTATAATCATCCGCTGACGATGCTAACATGGTTAGAGAAACGCGCGTCCAGTGTAAAAGTAAGTGTTTTGGTGTATTGTGGTGATTTAGTGTTTTATTTTGTTAATTAATGAACTTTTAAGGCATAAAATTCAGTAAGTGTTATTAATAAATATATTTTTTTTTATTTATGTTGTGTTTTATTTATTCATGTGCAATATTAAAAAAAAAATATTTTAAAATAACAGCCTTTGACGTTCTGTTAATAATGTCATAATAATGTTTCATGATGTCATTTTAACAGAACGTCAACAGGTTTTATAGACGTATCTGTTGAAAAAAAAACTAAAGTGTTCTTGAATGTCTAGAATAGTTGTACATATTTAGATATTTTAAATAGTTCTTTACTTTGTTTCGTTGTGTTTTTTTTTTTGCTTCCGACGACGGAAAGAGATATACTTCCCGAAACGTTAAGCATTTTTTAGTCCGTTGGGCAAATTTGTTTATTAGTAAATCACTTCTGACAAGCTGGCCTCCGTTGGATTAACGCAGCAGAGTTCACAAAAAATAACTATTTTATTTTGTATCAGCGAAATACTCATAGAACTTTTTGAAGTAATTTATGTTGAATAATGCGACAAAAACGAGAAGAAACCACGATAGATTTGATCATTTTCCGTGCGTCGGCTTGGCAACAACGCACCTGCGACGCCGGGTATTGGCTCCTGCCCGCAGGACCAGCCGCTGGACAAAGACAACAGTGTCGATATCAACATAATATAAACGTAAAAATATAAGACCTATTAGAGATATTATTTTATGGTGTTGTAGAGTAAGTATCAGAGACAAACTGTTTACTCTTACCACTATGATATTTATATACAAAATGCTTAACCATTTACATCCTAAACATCTACTAAATAAATGTGAGTTTGTGAGAGACCATACAGGTAGATACATGACACACGGTCAAAGAATTATTTTTATTTAAATAAAGTAAATAGTAACTTTAGTCAGAATAATGTACACTCAGATGCAAAAAAAACGGATTTTTTTTTAAATGACATACAGGGTGTTTCAAAACAAATGCGAAAAACTTCAGGGGGTGATTCCTTGTTCAAAATAAAGGGTAGTTTGCTTTATAAACGTTGGGTCAAAAGTCAACCATTAGGGAGATATCGGGGTACAAAGATGGCGGAAAAATAATGTTTTTATTTTTTATCTTGAAAACGAAAAGAGATAGACTAATGAAATTTTACGGAAGCATTACTGTTATGAAAACACACTTTCTGGTAATTTTTTCACTTTTTTAAAATGAGTGGAAGGGGTTGAAATAAACTACCCCTATCATTCTTGTTAATGAAATTTAAAGAAAAATCTTATCAAACACATTATTAGCATAAAGTAAAGACTTGAAGAAAATATTGTTCTAAGTGCCAAAATCATTATGTCAGATTAAATCTACCAGAAAGAAAATCTAGAAAAGATCCAGTGGTTCTCAAAATTTTGAGAAAAAAATTGTTCAAAATTTTATGTTTCTTGACATTTTCCAGGAAATTTTAAAAAACTTTTTAGTGCCACTTGTTAACTTAATAGGCGGTTATCGCCAGCGGTTCTCAAAATGTTGCCTTGTTATTTTTTTAAAAAAGGATCGAAAAATAATATTTTAGGAAAAGTTACTCACAAAATTATTGTACAGGGTGTTTTAAAAAAACTGAGTACACGAATTAAAGTTGATATATTTATATACAGTCTGCTAAAAAAATCAAGGAGTGTTTGTAAATAAAAAAATCAAAAAAATCACTCACCTGCTGCTGTTGTAGATGTCTTATGTCTGTTGGTGCTTGTCTTAACGACTGCTGTTGTGCAGCCTGTACAGCAGCCAAAGACTGTTGTTGCAAGTAGTGATGGTGTAAGGACAAACCTCCGGGACCGTGAGGCCCCATTTGGTGCCCCCCTGGAGGCATATAGATTAGCTGCTCTGGTGGAATTTGTTGCATTGGTGGTTTACTGTAAAAAAAAATACTTATTGTAACATTTTTTTTTAATTTAAAATAAAAAGTAAAGTATTTTAAGTTGACGTCTCTTTTTTGCTGCCAAGGCTAACCTGGATGAGGTCTACTATGTTTACGCGGAATCCGAACCGCGGTCTTCGGCCATATATCATTGTGAAGGGTCTACCGATATGGCGAGTGTCTAAATAGACTCTTACTCACAAAAATACCGGCGGAGATGAGCAGTGTGTGTCAATCCTAGGTGTCAATAGATTAACACACACTCTTGCCATGAAACAACAGCACGACAGAGTTTTCAGACGGTTACCCGTCCATCCACTCAGATCGTCTAACGTCGCTTAACTTTGGTAATCTATCGAGGATCTATCTATCTATCTATCGCAGATGCGCCAATAAACTGAGTTTAAAATATTCGGGATTTCTTAAACGAAAATTAGGAATTATTAGCATTGTGTTGCTTTTTTCTGCTGTTTAGAAGCCAATACTGTTTTATTTTTAAACTTCGAACCTCTAAACAGAATCACAGTTGAGGTAATTGTAGTACTCTAGATATTGTATATTAACTTTAATTGAAAAAAAAATAGAAAAGGCAACATTTTTTTTCAATTTTTCTTTTTCTTATAAGCCTACATTTTTTTGTACAACTTTCGGCTACAATATCTCAAAGTCTAGGCAAAGATTAATACTCTTACTCTTTGATCTAGGCAAATATTAAAATTCATCAGTCTTTTATCAACAGTATGTATCTGGATTGTCTTTACAAAAGAAAAACATTATTTATTAATGAAATTTTAAGAAAAATGCGTTCCACATAAAAATATTTGCTTGTTTTAAAATGGTTAATCCCGTTTATACTTTTACAAATTCTTATACAGTTTTAACAGAAAATTGAAAAAAACATAAAAATATAGTTTAATTTTAAAATCAAGTCCTAACAATCAAAACGTTTCTATGGTAATACAATTTCGTTTTCATGCTTTGATGGATTTTTATTGGTAGAATTTTAATTAACGACATATTTTTTGCTGTTATAAAATGTAAAAGCGCAAAATTTGGTAACAGTTGCATATACGATTTTCGGCTATTTTTGGACTATATAAGAAAATTTTTATATACTCACATTCTATTGACCTTAGAGATTGTAAATATGCTGGGGGAGAAGAGAAATTGTGTTTCTTTAAGTATTTTTTCAATCAAACAAACTTACGGGACCGGGGAGCGAATAGGGGTGCTGGGCGGGGTAAAAGCGTACAAACTGGTAAAACATGACATACAAATATAGAAAAATCACATTTTCCATTAAAAAAATTGAGAAAATATAGATTATGCACGGAATTTCAAAATATTTTAATTTAATATTTGACACATATTTGACGTTATGAGAATTTTAACACTTGATTTGACATGACACCGACAAAAGGGAAAGCAATTTTGTCAGTCCCACTGAATTTTCTTTAAAATTTTTATATCTGTAGTAAAAATCAAACACATATAGCTTGAGTTGAGGAAAAAGGCAATTTTGGTAAAATAAGAGAAAAAAATTTCTAACATACGAAAAAAAATTCAAACCAAACGAGACCAACCGAATCTAAACGAAACCAACCAAAACAAAACCAACCAAACCGTTCAGTGTGTTTTCATTGCTAGAGCTATAACTAAGCAATTCTCTATACCGCTGGTGGCGATTTAAAAAATAAATAAAAACATTTTAAAACCTATGACGTCATTTTTCCCTTTGAAAAAAAAAGGATGCATAAAATTCCGGACAATTTACTAGCTGATTTGGCAACTATGCATCAATTCACAATGTTTGTCAAAATTCAACCTTCACTACTGTTAGCATATACTTCAATGTAACCATGATGTAACCTGCCTGCCAATGATTTCTGAATAAAACAGTTCTTCATAGTTTTTTTGAAGAAATTTTACATTAAAAGCTTAATTAAAAGATTGTAAAATGGTTGTGTTATGAGTATCTTTAATCAGAATATTGATTTTACCCCGCCCAGCACCCCTATTCACTCCCCGGTCCCGTAAGTTTGTTTGATTGAAAAAATACTTAAAGAAGCACAATTTCTCTTCTCCCCCAGCATATTTGCAATCATTAAGGACTATAGAATGTGAGTATACAGGGTTGTTCACCACATACGACACGGAGTATTGTAGCTAAACGATGAGATTTTTACAAATTGTAAGTTTTGGGTTCGATGAAGGACTATTAGAGGTACAATTTAAAAATAATTTTACAAGATACAGAGTGTCCCAAATAAGTAAAAAATATCAAAGTTGTATTTTTTTAAATGGAACACCCTGTATATTATTACATTTTTAGTTTCTACGATTAAAATAAAGGTAAATTTGATTAAGGTTTATTATACTTAAACCTTACCGGTTTTGAAATATTTTCAATTTTGTGAAATTGCAGTTAAAATTTTAAGGCTTCATTTCTCCAAGGGTATCAAAGTTTTTAATACTAAATGTTTACTGAAGTTTATTTACTGATCAGTTATTGTGTTGCAATAATAAAAATAATACTACCTTATACAGAGTGTCTAAAAATTTATTTTAAATAATTATTTGCTTCAAACGGCAATAACTTGTTTAATTTAAATGGAACACCCTGTATATTTTACGAGAATCAGATGCACAATTTAATTCTCTATCAACTTATATTATACCATTTTTTACCTATCTCTTTAAGTTTCCGTAGAAAATGCATTTTCTTGTAATTTAGAACTTATTTATCAATATACCCATGGACTATTGACATTTTAGATTATTTTTACAGATGTACCAAATTTTTAAAGAGTACAGATACTAATATTGTCGGTATAATTCATTTATTTCATTAAAAAATTAAAAAAAAACTGTTTAAATATTTGTTAAAGAGGATCAATTAACATGATTCCAGTATTCAAACTACATTAACTGACTGTTTGCGTTGATTAACAATAATTGCTCCAAATACTAAAAAACTGAATTTTGTATGGGCATTAGACAGTGTGATAAAAAGTAACACCTTAAAAATGATATTTCATTTTTTAATAAATGCTTATTTATAACAACAGAGACTTTAATTTGATAACTTATTATTATATTGATTTCTGACTCAAATCCACATTTATTTATAATAATTTATTAACGAACACAATTAAGTATGTAATTAATTAGTATATGGGCGGAAATAATGGTGTTATATTTAATTTTAATGGTATACTCTTTTATAAAGATTTAAATAGTTTTCTTTTTTGCATACAAATGGGCTAGTAATATTATCGTTTTGCTAAAAACGATAATATTACTAGTCTGTACATTTTGTACATTTGTTGCTTTAAAAACAATCTAAAATGTCAATATTCCATGGATATATTGATAAATGAGGTCTAAATTATAAGAAAATGCATTTTCTACGAAAACTTGAAGGGATAGGTAAAAAATGGTATAATACAATTTGATAGACAATTTAATAGTTGTGCATCTGATTCTCCTAAAATATACAGGGCATTCCATTTAAATTAAAGAAGTTATTGCCGTTTGAAGCTAATAATTATATAAAATAAATTTTAGACACTCTGTATAAGGTAGTATTATTTTTTATTATTGCAACACAATAACTGATCAATAAATAAACTTCATTAAATATTTAGTATTAAAAACATTGATACCCTTGGAAAAATGAAGCTTTAAAATTTTTACTGCAATTTCACAAAATTGAAAATATTTAAAAAACGGTAAGGTTTAAGTATAATAAACCTTAATCAAATTTACCTTTATTTTAATCGTAGAAACTAAAAATGTAATAATATACAGGGTGTTCGATTTAAAAAAATACAACTTTGATATTTTTTATTTAATTGGGACACTCTGTATCTTGTAAAAATATTTTTAAATTGTAGCTCTAATAGTCCTTCAACGAACCCCAAACTTACAATTTGTAAAAATATCATCGTTTAGCCACAATACTCCGTGTCGTATGTGGTGAACAACCCTGTATAAAAATTTTCTTATATAGTTGAAAAATAGCCGAAAATTGTATATGCAACAATTACCCAAAATTTATTTAGTTCAATGATGGTTCAATGAAAGGGTGATAATAGTTATCGGAAAATGTGAAACTTTAACAACCACAAAAAATATGACGTTAATCTAAATTAATAATAACTATCTATCTGAATGAAATCGAAATTATATACGCCATTTGATTTTTAGGACTGAGCAAAAATCAACCATTTTAGAAGAAGCAAAATTTTTATGAAGAATGCATTTTTCCGAAATTGTCAATAATAAAAGAGTTTTTCCTCTTGTAAAGACAATCCGGGGACATACGGTAGAAGAAAAATAATATATACTTGATAAAACAATTTCTGTATGTAGGTATAGTAAGTACTTAAAATGTACTGATAGTAATATTTGTATTTCGTATAAAAAACATTTCATAAAATGTTACAAAGTACACAGATACAAACTGGTAAACAAGTATTACCCATAGATTAATATTTCACAATGTATAAATATATTATCGTTTTTATGAAATAATTTTACATAAATGTTAAAATTTATAATTTATACGTTACAAACAACTCATTAAGTGGCTTAAAACAGTATAAAAAGACTTCTAAAAAGCCCTCTGAAACTATTTAAAGCTATTTAAATGAACATTTCGGCCTACTAACTGTTAAAACTAAATGTTGTACGTATTTTTGTCCACTATTTCAAACCAAACACCCTGTATTTTGTGCCTCAGAAAAGAAAATTCTCTTTAATCTCTTTGTTTTTATCAAGCACATTGAGGTGACCCTCTAGCCCGTTTAAAAATAAATATATTTCATTACATCCAAAACATTCAGACGCTCTGTATAGGCTGGGTGCATTTCAGTTGATTTTAAAAATTCCGACCGCAGCGCTTGATACGGCAGAAATCAGAAGTGTTCGGCTCTGTATTTCACGCAGTTCCGAAGTTGATCGCATAAATAATATTAAAATCGTGGCTCTGACATAATAATTAAGTATTTTAGTTTTTATTAGCCGACCATACCAATAGGTATGGTAGGCTATTAAGATCGGCAAAAAAAAGTTTTTTTAACTTCACTCAAAATAAGTTATTTGGGTCATAAATGACATAAATACAAAATATTTTCATGGTGTCTGCACTGTTCGGTTTTTATATGATTCAAAATAAAAAATATATAAATTGTAAAATTAGTAATTTTTAATGGCCATAATGCGTTCTTTCAAAATCATCGAACAACTAAATCATTTCCATAGATCCAGTGACGTACCGTGACTTTGAATTTTGAGACCAAAAACTGACAAATAATTTGTCAAAAAAATCATATTACAGCTATATGTTTTATTTTGCATAAAAATGTTAACTAATAAGTTAGAATAATTATATTTCTTCCCTAACTAAGAGGTTTTATCGCTAAATTTATCTAAAGCTAAATACAACACAAATCTTAAATACGTGGACTATTATAACAACAAATACATCGTAAAATACTATTTTTGTAGCATTCTGAACGAGGATTCAAGTTAAACTTTTTAGAAAATAATTTAAAGGAAAAATGAACCTGCTCGCAGATGCTTGTTCCGAGTAAATCCTAGAGCTCTATGATTTGCTTTTATAAACTCTGGCACATGATGCAGAATTGCATGAATCTTTGGAGTTATCTTAATACCTAAGTTGAGTATTTCCAATCTAAATTGTTCGATGTCATGTTCAAAATGTTTGTTTAGTGCTTGACCAAAACAACTCGAAACTACTTGATTGAATGCAGAAAACACTGCAATATATTTATTCCTAAAAAAAGATGTTTAGGTTTTGCTTCTAAAAAACTTTGAATAGGATTCTTTACCGGGCGATATCGTCTTCAAAATATCCACTTTCTTTAAAAGTTGTCTGGCGTTATTTCCGTTACATTTTCCATAATGATCTAGATTCAATCCCGCTTTTTTTTATCCATTCTATTGCAACATTGGTATTCTCCAATTCAAGACAATCAAATAGTTTTTGAACCACACCTAACAACAGGTGAAGCTCAGGAGGGGGAATATACTTTACAGGTGTTTCTTCGTCGCCAATGATTAAAGGTATGTTTATACAGTTTCCTAAAAAATAATTGCCCTTTTTTATATTGTTCATTGAACAACAGTTTAAAAAATACAAAAAAAAAATATTTCAAACAAAAACGCTTACTAAAGTCTTTGGCTTTTGTTATATTTCCTCCAGATTGTTACCATAAATTTGTATTTTCTGTAATACTTTTTATAATTCTGAATGATCCTTTAATTTCCATTTCCTTTATACATTTACATCACACCATGGGCAAGTGTGAGTGGATGAATTTGACTGAAGACCAAGGAGAATCATAATAAGCTTAAAGTCAGCGGCAAAAGTATAGGAACAAATTCCACATATGGACTGCAGATCTAACGTCTCAAAGAGGATTTTAATGTTAGCATAAGATTCAGACAACTTTGGTCCTAAGCCAATTATGAATAGTTTATCAATTGCAGCACTTTTATATTTCTTGAAATATTCGGGATCATTTTCAGGGAGCACATTCAGACAAACTTTAAGTGATCCACCACCACTATCAATGCCAATTTTTAGATGAAAATCTTCAGGTAATTCTCTAATTTCCAAAATATATGATAGAAGACCAGATAAATCTGAGCAGTATACAAAAATTAATATTAACTGAATTTACATTTTTCCTTTAAATTATTTTCTAAAATGTTTAACTTGAATTCTAGTTCAGAATGCTACCAAAATAGTCTTTTACGATGTATTTGTTGTTATAATAGTCCACGTATTTAAGATTTGTGTTGTACTTAGCTTTAGCGATAAAACCACTTAGTTAGGGAAGAATTATAATTATTCAAACTTATTAGTTAATATTTTTATGCAAAATAAAACATATAGCTGTAATATGATTTTTTTGACAAATTATTGTTTCAGTTTTTGGTCTCAAAATTCAAAGTCACGGTACGCCACTGGACCTAAGGAAATGATTTAGTTGTTCAATGATTTTGAAAGAACGCATTATGGCCATTAAAAAATTACTAATTTTACAATTTATATATTTTTTTATTTTGAATCATATAAAAACCGAACAGTGTCTGTCTGTCTGTCTGTCCGTCTGTAAATACTGTGGCACCTGAGAATCTGGTCATTAGTTTTTGGTGGGGGTGGGGGGTTGGTAAGGGGGTATGGGAGGGGGTTAAAAATTTTAAAAAATCGTAACTCCAAAATTACAGTAGCTAGCGAAACGCGGTTTTCAAATTAAGATTAGGAATAATATTTGCAACAAAATTTGTAATAACATCAAAATCAGCCAAAGTCGCAGTTTTCGAGATATTAACATATTTTAGTATGGGCGGCTATACGTGCCTCCCGGCGCCAATTTTTAATAGTGCAGTTAATGACACTATAAAACACATCGTACGAGGTTTGTGTGATGTAACGCTGTTTCGGGTAGTAAAAATTAAGTAAAAAAGAACCTGAACTGGGCGTCGCTTTGTGTTGTGGCAAATTCAAATGTTAATAAAATTGTCGAAAAAATGTTAACACGTAGAGGAGGGCGTAATTACGTGTTGTTGGGTGCAATAACATTCAATAACTCAACTTTCCTAGATATTCAAATCTCCCGAAAAAACATTTTATAGCTTCACAACTTTTCACACTGATTTGATCAAAAGCAAAAATAGATTCAAGCAGCTCGACGAAACAAATGAGTTAACAAAGTGCCCATTACATAATCAAAAAATTAAATAGGCATATACTATGAGGGGATAAATAATTATAATTGAGCAATTATTGCAATATTAATGAAATATTCGTTTTAATCAACAATTTTTTAACATCTTTTATGTGTGCCTTTAAAAAAATTCATCATAACCGAAATAGGCCCAATTATGTCTCCACTATCAAAATCGCTGCGTAAAACTATGCTAGCTACCTTAGTTAAACTCATCTAAAAAGTTTTATTAGCTTCATTAACAAATTATAATACAAGCTAGACCTTCTGAAGATATTAAGGTATTATTCTGGTACTATTTATTAATACCAGACAATTTTATATAAAACCAAATATTCACAAACTATCTCAAAAATATAACATTTTTTATATAGTCCCTTTGTCTCTTGTCTTAGTAAATATAAATAAAAACCACTTAGAAAAATGATATTTTATAAACCCCAAGTATTAAAAATATTAATCTATATAAACACTAATAAAAATACAACTTCAAGCAAAATCTATATGAAAATAGCATCAAAAAAATTCCCTGTATACATTTCTTGAAATATATAATTTTTTATACAGTATGTCCCCGGATTGTCTTTACAAGAGAAAAAACATTTTTACCTCGATTTTTACTATTGACATTTTGAGAAAAATGCAGTATTCATAAAAAATTTTGCTTGCTCTAAAATGGTTAATCCCGTTTTAGGTTTGTCAAATTTCCATTCCGTTTTAGAGAAAATTAAAAAAAACATGAATTTAAGCCTAAAAATCTAAAAGCATTGTTTCTATGGTAATATAATTTCAATTTCATTCTTTGATACACTGCAAATACAAATTATTATATTAATTATTATTATTAATTACAAATTATTACTATTAATTTGGATTAACGTCATATTTTTTGCTGTTGTTAAAGTACCAAATTTTCTTTAACTATTATCACCCTTTCCATAACATCGAATTTAATAAATTTTGAGCTTCTTTAACACTTTAATACAGCAAAAAATATGACGTTAATTAAAATTCTATCAATAACAATCTATCAAAGAATGAAATCAACATTATATTAATTTTTAGGACTTCTAAAAATTCTACTATAACATTTTCATGTTTCTTTTAATTCTCTCTTAAACGGTATGGAACTTTGGAAAAGTATAAACGGGATTAACAATTTTAGAACAAGCAAACATTTTTATGAAGAATGCATTTTTCTCAAAATTTCAATAATAAAAAAGTTTTTTTCTTCTTGTAAAGACAATCCGGGAACATACTGTATAATCTCTTAAGTCTCTTGTCTTAAGAAATATAAAAATTACTTAGTAAAACAATATTTCACGAGCGCCAAGTTTAAAAATACAAAACTACACCAAACACTCACATATTATAACCACTAAAACTCAACTTAAAGCAAAATCTACCTTTAAATAATATTAAAAATAAATAATTATAAAACTAGACTCACCTATGTCCCAAATCGTACAAAGAAGATGGCAAAGCTGCCCCGTAATGATGTGCCGCACCACCAGGCATGCCAGTGGGAGGAGTGGGCACTTTCGGTTGCATAGAAGGCGAAGCCGAACTAGCTGCACCCTGTCCAATCGAGGAGTACTTCCATTTATCCTGATTCTACATAAAAAAAACACATTTTAATACTTAAACATGTTTAAACAGGGTCAATAATGCATTACATCGATAATGCTGTCATCTCCGTGAGCCCATCTCAGTTGTTTAGGCCCGAATGGCGGGAATTCAGGGTCGGGGCCCCTTTGGAACACGTAGCCCACGGCGGCATCGTCCTGAGTGCGCTGGGGACCCCCTAAAGCACCTCCTCCTCGATCCATTTCGTTTTTTACTATACCATCTCCCTCACCCCCACAACCGTTACCGAGCCACTTCATTGGTATCACTACAAAACAAAAAAGAAGCTTTCAGTTACACTTACAAGAACATTTAGTCCCAAAAAGCTGTATAAGACTTGTGTACACTTTTATCGCACATTTCTAAACCTAAACAGTTCCTTTTTGGTTGTATGAGGATAATTTGTTATAAGAAATGCAAAGAACCCTTAAAATTACATATACAAAGCTTTAAATCGCTTAAAACATTGTAAACCAAAGACAACAGTAAAAATAGTAACAAAACAATTGATACAAAAACTTAAGTAAATATTACCAATGTGTCTTTTCGAGATTACCATTTATGGGAAATAATAACACATACCCAAACGATTATACTATCAAAATTAACACTATTTAACTCTATAATTCGATATAAAAAAATAAAAAGGTAGAAACATCTTAGAACAAAAGTATTAGGTTATGTTTCGCTGCATTCTTTTGTTTGGAAAAAGACACTAAATCAGCACACTTGATTAAAATATTAAATGAGTATTTACTTGGCCCGAATGTTCATGAAGAAAATCGATAAAATATACGCAATTTTCGTGAATAATTTAGCAAACTCGACTGGAACCAAACAAACAAAACTCTGATCTGTCAAATAAACCTGATAAGTCATTCGTCCTGTTTTTTTTATCAATTTTTCCGAAAATGTTTGTATTATTTCGCTTGGATTGATTGTAAAAGTGAGAAAATTGATTTTTAAACTACATAATGGATCAATTTTTTCTGTGCTTCGTCGAAAAATGGGAGTGTTCGGCCGTTGTTTACGCGATGACATATCAGATTCCCGGTTACAAACAAATTAATGGCGTTTTGACAATCGATGAATTTTAACACAAAGAAACTTTGCTTGTTTTGCGATTTTGACGGGAATTTTCGCGTGGAAATTAAAGAAACACTTACCTTTTGTAGTTTTGTTCAGAACTTGAGCATCAGCAAACTGTATTATACGAAAATTTTAATGTTCCTTCGGTCGGCGTCGGCTTTGCGAGAAGATTTCCCACTGTACACAAACACAATAATCGATCACAATTTTTACACTAGTTTCGATCGCACAACACAAAATATTATCACTAACTATACAAGAAACTATATACAATGTACAATTAATGATAGATTCACTATTTACGCCATTTATACAGGAGATTTTTGCAGATTTTAAAAATGACAGAAATTCGGAAAAAACTCGATCGCCATTTTATGAACATGCGCAGAAAACAAAAGGTTTTGTTTTTGAACCAGTTCAGGCAACCAGTAAAACATTCATTTAAACATTTTTATTGTATAGAGAATAGCATACCATTTATTCCTTTTATTTTAGATACTCTTATATTAAATTTAAAAAAAATAAAACTTGTTTGGTTTAATTTTATCTGTTAAATGTTTTTTTTTTGTATTATAGACTTTATATATTCTTTGAAGGTACATAAAAAAGCACACTAATAAAAATATAAAATAAGAATCAAGAAAGACACAAAATTTGTTTTTTTAATTAATTTTAAGATAGACGCTCATTAACAATAATTAATCTAAAGAATAAAGCACATGTTAGATTGTATAAAATTATACGTTATTTGCAATCTATATACCTTCATTACCCGTATGATGAATTTGACAACACTATTGACTATTGTTACTATTATTTCAACACAAATCCTTGACTATTAAACTATAATTAACATAGATACAATTTGTATGAAAAATGTCATACTTTTGATTATGATACAGATTATATTGAAGAGTAATTTATTATTTATTTGTTAACTACATACTATATCAGAGCCATATGAAATAATACTGCGAGTATCTGCAAAACCGTTAAAAATTTTGAAATATTTTAATTACAAAAAATATTCATGTTTTAATTCTCCATCTAATAAAAAAATAATATACAGGGTGTTCCATTATAAAAAAAAACAAGAACAATTATTTTATATTTTAGAAAGTTTGGCGTATAATTTTGTGTTTGGGTAGAACACCCTGTATGATTTAAGATTATGATATTTATAGCAAAGTAAGTACAGACCATCTAAAGTAAATATCTAATATATTTTTGATTTCAGGAAAGAGTTCTTGTATTTTTAATAATTTTTTAAGAACGGCTGAAAAATATATATTTTTATTTATTTATTAATAATATCTCTGAAACTATCGAAATATATTTACTCATATCTTAGAATTATGTAAAGTGATCTGAAAAGAAGTCAAAAATGCAATAGTATACAGGGTGTTCAATTTAAAAATAATCCCGATCCGCTAACACTTGTTTGAGCCACCCTGTAGAAGTTAAAATATTTTTCTGACATACATCTTAGTACAGGGTGGCTCGAATTCGACGCTCATCATTGGGATTTCGAAAACCGTAAGAGATACAGGATCGGTTAAATAGAGGCAAAGTTGCGCAATTTGATGCTCAATAAAATGCCGTATTGCATTTTTTTTTTTTTTGCATAAAATATTCTGGTGATGGAATTTCTGTACGAAACGTCGGCAAATATCAAAATGACTATATATAGTGTTTTAAGAGTGATGAAAGGATTTAATTAAATTGAAAAAAAAAATCAGGTCTGTATTTAAAAAAATTAAATTGATGATGGTCGCCAGAAGCCGAAACGTCAGAGTCAATATTTAATCACACAGAGTTATAGAGCAGAAAAAGTGGCCATTAAAATGTGTTTTTCATTTTAAATTATTTTAACAAATAAAGCCAGGAAACAATAGAAAACAACATTGAAAATTCCGTTTTTTTTCGAATATATTCGGACGTATTCGGAATTTTTCAAAATGCAATACGGCATTTTATTGAGCATCAAATTGCGCCACTTTGCCTCCATTTAACCGATCCTGTATCTCTTACGGTTTCCGAAATCCCAATGATGAGCGTCGAATTCGAGCCACCCTGTACAGGGTGGGTCAAATTCGACCCTTTTAAATGGCAACACCCTTTTCTATAGGAGAGCTCAATTTTCATCAATTTTCATCAAAAACATGATGGTGAAAACCGCACATCAATATCTGTTACCGTTTCGGAGTTACGGGGTGTTTTTCAAAAATGTGCATTTTTAACAAATAGCTGTAACTTTTTTGCAATGGAAAATTTTGTATTTCTATGAAAACATTTCCAAAGCACCTTTTTACGTAGAATTTAATGGCTTAAGTATAATTTTTTTTAAATTAATAATTTAAGAGTTATCAACAGAAAAATTAATTTTTATTTGGGACACCCTTTATATTTTTAATTAACTGAAAAGAATTTAAAATTACCTTTCCAAAAATATAGCACACTTGATTTTTTGTTATAATCCCCTTCGAAATACAGAATTTTTAAAAGTTCGCCACTTTTAACTAGTAGGCTTTGGACCCCTTATTGATGATATGCCCCTAATGGAACTCGAAAACATATTTTTCCAGCAAATGTTGCAGCCAATTTCAAGAATAATTGGATAGCTAACCAAGATCCCAGCCGTTGGCCGTCGAGGCCGCCTGACTTAGTACCCATGGATCTAATCCTATGGATATATTTGCGGAAGAATAAAGGTTCCTTATTCTTCCGTATAATCTAGACAAGAATTAAAAATACTTAGCAGTTATGAGAGGGTATCTTCCGCCTCTACTGAGTCAATGAATTCCGCGAGAAATGTTCAAAAACTGCCCCGTCTGTCCATAACAGAAGACGGTCGATATGTCGAACACCTGTAGCAAAATCTCATGTCTTGGTTTGCTATTTGTTTTTATTGTTATTAGACATAGTTTAAATGTATTGATGTTGGTTAAATATATTTTAAATTGTTATAAAATTCTGCATCTCTCATAGCAAATATTATTTTCGTTTTAATTGATGCTCAATGCTCACAGATAGAATTTTTTTGCATTACAGCCGGTGCCGTTCAAAGCCTACTAATTTAAAGCGGGCGAATTTTTATATACTCTATATCTCGAAGAGGAATCGAGCAAAATATCAAGCGTGATATATTTTTGGAAAGGTAATTTTAAATTATTTTCAATAAATTAAAAATATACAGGGTGTCCCATATAAAAAATCATTTCAATCAACATTTTCTGTTGATAATTCTTAAATTATTAATTTTAAAAAAATTATACTTAAACCATTAAATTCTACGTGAAAAGGTGCTTTGAAAATGTTTTCATAAAAATACAACATTTTCCATAGCAAAAAAGTTACAGCGATTTGTTAAAAATGCATATTTTTTAAAAACACCCCGTAACTCCGAAACGGTTACAGATATCGATATGCGGTTTTCACCATCATGTTTTTGACAAAAATTTAGCTCCAGACACCGATATTAGTTTTCGTCTATCTCCTATAGAAAAGGGTGTTTCCATTTAAATGCGTCGAATTTGACCCACCCTGTACATACCTTCATACTCTAAATTTGCATATAAACAATTCCCAAGTTTTTTTATTCTAGGCTACAGATGCCCGACGCACTATTGCCGGACCCTGTATAATCACTGAAACCGTTCTATGATCTATGATATTTCGAATACAGGGTGTTCCAGAAATAAATGCAAATATTTTAACTGATAGTATATTTCGGTCACAGAAACACGCCTATGACTTTTTTTTACGAAAAAAAATTGTTCAAATTTTATATATTTTTATACTTTTTCAGGAGAATTTTAAAAAACTTTTTAGTGCCACTTGTTAACTCTTCCGCCGGTTATCGCCAGCGGTTCTCAAAATGTCGATTTGTTATTTTTTTAAAAATTTCAAAGTTAAATAACTCGGTTATTTTCAATTTCTTTTAAAAATGGTAAAGAGAAAAGATGTTTCTTTTGACCAGATATCTACCATCTCTTAAAATATCGGCACTTATTTCTGGGAAACCCTGTATAATAGGTCTTGACAAATTTGAGAAAATATACAAAATAAATATATTTTTTTCATTTCCCGCAACTTTTTTAAATCAACATAACGAATATTTCTGGAACAAAAAGTATAAATCTCAAAAAAAAAACGAAAAGGTTTGGAGAGACGAGTCATCTACCTGATTATACACAAAAATATTTTAATTACGGTACCAATTAAGATTGAAAATGGCGTGTGACCAGCCACCTAGCTTGTATTGTGTGTCTTCTTTTGTCTATCCGTGAAACATCCGAACATCGACGGCCAGTGCCAACTGAGACACCGCTCGGGCTCTAGCTAACATGCTATCGCAGTACTATTACGCGTTTTTGGTGGTACCGACGTTTTTTTGTGCCGGTTTTTGCCACGAAGAATCGCACTGGCAACCAGCGTACGACTATTACCATATAGATTTAGGTGATTTAGGGGGCCATCATGGGCATGGGGACCTGGAAGTCAAGACACCCCTGCCGAGGGATGTGATGGTAGATGTTATTAACGAGCTAGGGGTAAAACTGTTAGCGGTAAGATTAAAAATGGATCTAGATTATTTTATTTTATTTTATGGGGTCTAAATTCCGCAATAAGATTTTTGGGGCAAAAATCGCAATACAGGGTGGCACCTCTTATACGACGCGTAGGATCCAAGGAGGAACGACAGTTTGTATTGATATTAAATTTTGTGAGAATTTGTAGGCTAATTTAGAACATTTTTTAAAAATATGTAGAGCTCTACAGGGCGTCCACAAAAAAACTTACAAATTAAAGTTGTGTTTTTTGTAACGGAACATGCACCATATACCGGGTGCGTCTCCAAAGTGCCTCACCCCTATAACTTTTTTAATTTTTTAGATAAAAAAACGAGATTTGGTACGTTAGTATATGACATAAATTAGGATTGATTGACGTATTCAATTGTTTAAGTCACTTCCTGTTTCACCGGAAATGACTAGAACTTTTATTCAATAGAAAATGACATTCTAAATAGAACCACGTCTATGTCAAAAACGCTAACTTTTAATCAAGGAGCCTTGGAAAAATAGATTTGATCGTATAATGTTTATAGTGTCTTGTCCTGGCCAGTTAGAAAATGCTCAAATCGTATTTTTAATCATATCTTAATTTTTTTTAAATGGAACCAGGGTGGCTCACTAGTATCTTTAGAAAAAGCATTTTTTTACGAATAATTTGATACCACACATTTGGTATTTCGAGTCAAATTTTCGTTACGAACCGCAAGTTATAATTTCAAATAAACCATATGCGAAAATGTCAAAAGTTGACATATGATATATCATTTTATTCAGAGTGTTATTTTCTATCGAATAAAGTAAAAAAAATACCGAGGGTGCCATTTAAAAATCAAAAGTTGTAGTCATTTCCGGTGAAACAGGAAGTGACAAAAAACAATTGAATACCGTCAATTAATCCTAATTTAAATCATATACTAACCTACCAAATCTCGTTTTTTTAATTGAAAAAATAAAAAAGTTATAGGGGTGAGGCACTTTTAAGACGCACCCGGTATATTAATTGATTTTCCCAGTATGTTATTCCGATATTATTGGGGAATTTATTAATTTTTATGAAAAAATGTCAGTAAATTATTATTATTTGAATAAATCTAGGTGGTTGTGATATGTCTGACGTTACTTCAAAATAGTCGTCAAATTAGTCCAACTTTAACAACTAGTTATGATTTTGTGCCAATTGAAATGAAAAAAATTCTCAAAAATTTGCCTAACCAACTTACCCTACAGCATAGATAACTGATATGATTCTATTAATTGGTGAATGCACACTGCATTCACCATTGGGTATATCATAGTGGGTATATCACAACCACCTAGATTTAATCAAATAAAAAATAATTTTCGGTCAAAAAAACTCAAAAATCCCTCACTCCATTAATGGGAGTTAATAACATTTTCTGATTAAAATTAATTAATTAATTTGTGTAATTATGTCGTTCGTATCTACTTGAAGCAATTCGTTTTGGAAATTATTAAAATGTACCATACTTATCCTACGCATTTCGTCTGTTATAGTAAAATAGGTACTACTTAGGTATTAGTTTCAGTTAAAACAAAATTTAAAAAACGGCACGTATAATTTCATTTCCGCTCGTTAACAATAATATGCACAAAACGGAATTAGTCGTTTTATAGTTGGTACCAAAAGTGGGCTGGAACTAATGTTTAAAATCGATGCCTTTTGCATCATTAGATGGACCTTTAATATGTATGTAGATAACAGCTTTTAAACAAATTAATCGGAACAAAACAAAACTACACTCAGATGCAAAAAACGCAACGGAAACATTTTTGGTCTAATTTAAAATTGATATTTTAGCAAACTGTATATATATATATATATATATATATATATATATATATATATATATATATATATATATATATATATATATATATATATATATATATATATATATATATATATATATATATATATATATATATATATATATATATATATACTAAAAGTTTATAAATACTAAAGTTTATAATAAACTGAGTTTATAATTTTTATATATTTATTTATTAAAAATTTTTAAAAATATAATAAATAAATATATAAAAATTATAAACTCAGTTTATTATAAACTTTAGTATTTGACTTATTATAGAGGGTAAATCGAAGAGTTTTTTTACTCTATCTTTAAAACACCCTGTGAAATAATTTCGTGAGCAAATTTTCCTAAAACATCATTTTTCAGTCAGAACCATGTACTAAATATTTTATTTTTTTGACTCATGTCAACGCAAGCGTTGGTTAATTTTTAAGAGCAAAATGAACTTGCCACAATTTTTGATATTATTCTTCATAATGACGAGGTGGCTTTGGTGACTATTGTTGTGTATGACTGAATATGGTTCTTATTGTCGAAGATTGTGCAAAAGTCATTGATCTTGTTGAAGATGGCCGAAATTATAAATATTCGCTTGGTCCTTGAAGAAGAATAGAATGTAGAATGTAGAATGAGTAAGGGGGGGGTTAATTACTGCGACCTTAAAGATCGATTGTGCCCCCTTCCTTGAGTCATCACACAATCTATAACTTATCATACCACTGTTGTAGAGGGGACAGGGTATTTCCCATCCTCCTCTGACAACAGTTCTTCCTCCGAGTGTACACACCCTTTCACGGTTGGAGTTTGACCCTCGGTGCCGCTTTTCACAGTCGAGGAGCTTGCCACCGGCTGAGGAACCCGTGAGGTGGAAGCTGGAGGATCTGTCTCCATTTTCTCCACCTCTTTAACTTGGTCTCTCCTTAGACCTGATACCGGTGTTATCCCGTATCTATAATAGAGGATATGTCCCTCTTTCTATATTGCCTCCTTGGATTTGATGTCAATTCCTATTGTGAGGACCTGACCATGACCCTCCTCCCTCGAGTTGATGACTCGCCAACTCGATGTCCTTATATTGAAGTTCTGACCTTGGATAAGGCTCAGCAGGTAGGCATGGGCGCCGGAAGAATGAAATTTAGGGGGGGCAAGGTAAAAATGAATAAAAAATTGAAACACATTCTACTGTTTCAGTGATCCAGGGGGGGGCAAATGCCCCCTCTTGCCCCCCCTATCCGGCGCCCATGCAGGTAGGTGGTGTCTTTCCCCTTGCTCCTCGGCCTTTTCTCCCTTCACTGCAACCAGTCCCGGCTCTTGCCAATTTTTAAGCTTAGATACAATTTCCACCAACCAATTCGCCGATTTTTGAAATACACAATCTATGAAGATCATGCCCGAAAGTGTATCCCCGCAAATGCAGCTGACCCACATTTTGTAGATCGTTGTGTTGCGATTGATGACTCTTCTAGAGACTTTGCTGGTCGGTGGTCATTTGTATACTTAGTTATTACAGGTATTTTTTAATATCCTTAGTTCTGTTAGTGTTACTAATATTTATTAAAACCAAGCTTCTATCGATACTTTTTAACGTTTTTTTTTTATATTTTAATATAGTGTTCTAATCAGTGTCGATATGACATTATGATAATAGTCACCAAAGCCACCTCCTAATATTAAAAAATAACATCATAAAGTAATAATAGTTGAAAAAATTGCAAATTGTTGGTGGCAAGTTCATTTCGCTCTTAAAAATTAACCAAAGCATGTTTTAACATGAGTCAAAAAAGAAAATGCTCAGGAGACATGGTTCTGATCGGAAAATAATGTTTTAGGAAATGTTACTCACGAAACTATTGCACAGGGTGTTTTAAAGTTATGGTAAAAAAACAACCCTTCAATTAACCCTTTATAATAAGCCAAATACTTAAGTTTATAAAAAGCTGAGTTAATGAATTAAAGTTGATATATTTATATACAGTCTGCTATTCTAGACTAGTGTGGGACTGTGTGCGTGCTCTGAATACTTTGGGCGAACGTAGCACTGTTACGTTGGCCGGGGTGCCAGGGCACGAGGGTCACAAGGGTAACGAAAAGGCAGATGAAAGGGCCAAGCAAGGCTCATCAGTGCCATTCATAGGCCCAGAACCCTTCTGCGGCGCTGCAAAGGCGGTCACGGAACGATGAGTGGCCAACAAATCTCTAGAATGGTGGAGAAACTCATCAGGGCAGAGACAGACGAAAAGGTTCATTGTAGAACATTCGCCAAAATTCACGGTAGACTTGATACGCAAGGACAGAAAGACAGTCAAAGCTGTAGTAGGTCTACTAACAGGGCATTGTAAGCTAAATAGGCATCTAAAGCTGATGGGATTGACAGACGAAGCTATGTGTAGGTTCTGCCAATCTGAAGAAGAAACGTCAGAACACATTTTATGTCGGTGTGACAGCCTGGCAAATGTGCGGTTCCCGATAATAGGCAATGATAGGCCATTGCCAAGGAGCTACATGGAGGGTTCAGTCTCCAAGTTGCTAAAATTTGTGAAAAGGATAGGAGTGGAGAATGTAATCTAAGGATCAGAAGAGGACCACAATAGATCTGAGAAGGTCGCAGTGGATCAGGCCGAAAGCCACCTCTAAGAATCTAATCTATACAGTTTGCCAACAAATTCATGAAAATAGGGCAAAAAGTAAAAAAAATATAACACTTTAAACTTGACGAAAAAATGTTCGTTTTTGTTGCGTTTTTTTGCATCTGAGTGTAACATTTCAGCTCATTCTAAATCATATTCCAATAGAATATAAAATTCTGCATACGACAAGTAGGTATAGTTTGGATTCTTTTAGACTTTTATTATTATTCTTTTAAACGGTGTTGCCACTCGCACTGTTTTTTTTTAACTTTAAGAGTCTATTACGCTGTACTTTCGGGTGGCTCTCAGGGGTCGGGTAAAGCGGGTGTGTGGCCAAAAGAAAATATATTGTATTTCAGAAATCTGCCTAAGGCTTAGCCAAATCCTATCGTGTTAAGTCACATCCAAAATTCCAAACACGCGTGCTTTCATTACGGCTTGATTAAGGTTTGCAGAGCTTCAGCATTTGCCATAAAATAGCTAGCAATTTGTTACAAACCCATATAAATTATACAAAACTTAAGTC